AGACGAGTTCATACTTTCTCAAAGGCTCCAGGTAGTTTTTTTGCGTGAGATTTTCATTTAAAATATTTTGGCACGCAGCTATATCTTAGCTCAATTGTAAAATCGTTAATACTGCATTTTCATAAAATAAATGTATAGACATGATTTTGTGTATGTACAATAATTTGCGTTATTTTTAGTCACTAAAGTGCCTCTCCCTCTAGATTTTGCTAAAGTGTCACCGATTGTCATATTTTAAACATAAAGATGGTAGGGGTGTTTCAACGTCATTTTATACATTACAAGCAGGCATTGTGAAACCAATTTAAATATTTGAAAAAAATCATATTCAGCAAATTTTGAACGAAAACATTTTATGTGTCTAATCCAAATACTCAGAGTTATTCCTAATAGATTCTATAATACAGGACAGAATCAACAGACGATATCATAAATTGATTAGAAGATTGTACTGGTTGTCCCATTTTCGATGTCTTCCAGTGTCGTAGTCGTATTTTCAGAATAAGCTGTTATTATTCAGATAAAACCTGAAGTAATGTATTTTTATATGGAACACCATGTATATTTCTTCATATTTGAAACGTTGATGCCGAGGTTGATGCTTTGAACTTTCCAAAAATATGTAATACTTATAAGATATTTCAAGTATTAGCCATAAATTTAGTTTTGAGTAGAATTTGCATCGATGGACCATGTGAATAATATGTGGCAACATTGTCTATATCACAAATTTTCATATTTACCTTGTTGCTGATACAGTATTTTATCGTAAACTGAACCAATCGAAAAATATCAAGGGTATTTTTGAAAGCAAAATTTTTCTAGAAAAATGTCTTTATATCAGAAGGACATCCTTAAATTTTTTCGATCAACTTAGTTTAAATTGTACCAACATTCAATATTCAACACTATTCCTTAGACAATGAACTCTAGAGCTTTCCCGTTCTTAATACTGTATGAGTGTTATATATTTTTAAAAAGCATCATTGTTTTGAATATGAAGAAATATACAGGGTGTTCCGTTTAAAAAAACGTAACTTTGGGTTACATCTGAAAAATAACAGCTTATTTTGAATATCTGACTACGCCACTGAATTCTACTTGAAAAAATATATCAGAAGCAGTTTTTACTTGTTCGATAAGTTGAAAGATAACTGAAATATAGGGTGTAGGTCCCAAAATCCAACATTTCGGTCTGTACCTCAAAAACGAAATGATTAGGTCGTTATCTTCCGGGGTAAATAGTAATGATGAAAATTCTGTACCATACCTTTGAGAATAAGTGAGATATCCCGTAAGGACATCGAAAATGGGACAATTGGGACAGCCTGTACAGGGTGTTTTGAAATTATCAAGGTTCAAATTGAATTTCTTGCTGGATACCTTCATAACAGCTGCTATATCGCGTTTCACTTGAAGCAAAAGCGTTATATTTCCTTCTAGAAAGAATGCGAACAATGCAAATACCTACTTTTTGTATAAAATCAGTTGACAATTTTTGTTTCCTGCAAACGAAATGAAATAAGTATATATTTAAAATACGACATTTATAATATGCACAACCATTTAATGGCTCACGTTGAAAGCGATTTGTTTTTTATTGTTCACTAAAGCTTTACACAACAATTAACAATTAATTTCAATGGATTGATGTTTTATTACAATGGTTCGAAATGCATATTATATTTAGTCTACGACGAAAATGTTTGTATACGTTTCATCTACCAAAAATTAAATTATTCAATTCACTTTTATTTTTCGAAAATATCATTTTTGTTTAGAATATTGGGAAGTTAGTCTAAAGCAGAACATAAACAAACATTTTTCGCTACTACCAAACCTACTGCGCGGTCAGACGAACCTGGCTGCCACCTGGCTGTCCAGACCTCGCTCCGCTCTACATGATATGTAAACATTAGCCCGGTGGCTACAGTTCAGGAAAGATGGGTTTTCACACGAAGGAAATATCACAAGCATAACATTTGGTGAATTCATGGTGACTCATCTACATGGGGTTTCATAGGTATACGGTCAAAACTCTGAATGAACTGGTGAAGGTAAGAATGATAGTGAAAATTTGATGCTAATATCTGGAAAACCAAAGAATGTAGCATTTATATTACCGCAATTTTCATTCGAAGACAACAGGGGAAAAGGGGGGAATGTCACAATACAGTGGACTACGCCATCTGACAGCCAAACCTCCTAACCACTATATTTTAGTATAAATAGAAGACCATAGCAATTACGCAGCATAGTCAGCTACAATTTTCGTTCGAAAATACGTTCACATTAAAAAAAAATCGTGGAAAGTCCACTTGAAAAATATGAAGAAAGGGGAACGTCCAAGCTTATAGGGCTTGCTTGAATACAGATTCCATTGTGATTTTAATAGGTTGTTTTCAAACTGTCAAAAGGTCAAAGTGAACTCTCAGGAGTCTCAGGCAAACAAAAGATGGGAAAATAAAAGAGATACGGCCACCTTTTTCTCATCTCAACTTCTGGAGATTATGAGTTCTTGGGAATACTCTGGCAAAACATTCCAAAGATTTGCCGTTCTATGGATAAACGAGTTCTGGTAAAGATTTGTTCGACATCTTTCGAGGTTGAGGATAAAAAGGTGTGCTTACTGAGCTTGTCGAGTACGTCTGAGTAATGGGAATGAAATAATGATATTGCTACATGATGATTCCTACTCATATCGCGTGGAATTTATAGAAAATAATCAAACTATAGAGATACTAGATGTACTATATGACAACTTACCACTCATTACGTAGTCAGGCAAGAATGGCGAAATGTAATAAAGCAGATAATTGCGAGTAAAAAATCCAGTTTTTCGACAATTTATTTGGACCCCCATAATTTTCCCTCGAATCTCTGGACTAATTTTGTTTTCGATGATTTTACGATTCAGATATGATTTTAATTTCTATTTGTTCAACTTTATTGCTCATTATACTCCATCAAATGAATCCAGATGGTTTGATTTCAGTTTCCTCCAACTTCCAAAGAGTAAGGAGGAACTTTGAAATGCGTTTTTCACGAAACCTACTTTTTGTGACATTCCCCCTTTTTCCCCTGTGGTCTTCATTTGGAAACACGGTAAGAATATAGACGGAATATAGGAATTCTATCATTTTCATGATTTTTTTCTAATTATACAGCATGTCTCTAGAATGTCTGTGCAAAATCTTAGCACATATTCCTCAAAATAAGCCAATTTGAAACGACTTACCTCAATCCAAAATTGCTCCGTTTCTGAGATACAGGGTGGTGAAGATGAAAAATAAAAATCGTCAAGTACACTTCAAGAAAGTATTTTGACAATCCATTTTTGCACTGCTTATTTACTGGCCAAATTACATTGAAGATGATAACAGCAAAAATTTTTTATTCAAAATAATTTAAATATTCTGGTGCTGCACCAGAGATCAAAAACAAAATATCTCGAAATCGGCTTACTTTTGCCTAAAAATGTTCAGAAAAATATGTCCCCATCTAATAAAGTAAGAAACTACACTGAGAAGAAGAACGTTATGGCCATTTTGAACCATAAGAAGTGCATTGGTAAGCGCCCTCTAATGGCCACAGTGAAAAGGTGCCCGTATTCGTTTTTCGCGTCCCAATCCCAACTATCAATTCTTTGAGAAATACGTTCAAAAATGTTCATAAATTCTGAGAAATTTGATTTCATTTTTTAACTTCACCACCCTGTATCTCGGAAACGATGCAACTGCGGACTGAGGTAAGTTGCTTCAAATCGGCTCGTTTTAACCTCAGGGACACCCTTGTATATAGATATATGGTATAGATTTTCAAGCAATATAACCATAATCAATAATAACAAGTTTTTTTAACCTCAAATGGGGTTCTTTAATGAATTACAGGGCGATAGAGATTTCCACGATATACAGGGTGATTCAAAAGTAAGCGGCATCCTTTCAGAGGCGTATTCCTTGCTTGAAAATAAGGCAAAAAGTTCCTATTGATAAGGATCCGAAAATGCTTCCTAAGGGAGCTACGGCCCTTTGAATAGGACACCTCAAAGACGGTTTTTTCTCTATAACTTTAAAATCCTTCACAACAAATTTTTAAAAATTGGTGTACGGCATAAACATTCGATGGTAAATAGGACTCCGTATTCGAAATTTCAGAATTTCATTCAGGGGCGTCACATGCGGGAGAGGGTAAGTGTAAAAATATCCCTTCTTCTCCGGATATTCAGGTTACTGTGATTTCGTTTGGAAATTATTTCGAATACGGAGTCCTATTTACCATCGAATGTTTATGCCGTACACCAATTTTTAAAAATTTGTTGTGAAGGATTTTAAAGTTATAGAGAAAAAACCGTCTTTGAGGTGTCCTATTCAAAGGGCCGTAGCTCCCTTAGGAAGCATTTTCGGATCCTTATCAATAGGAACTTTTTGCCTTATTTTCATGCAAGGAATACGCCTCTGAAAGGATGCCGCTTACTTTTGAATCACCCTGTATTGGTAAATATAGTCAGATTTTCTTCCGGTTGGACCATATCTGCCTCTCTTGGCCATGTTTGATTAGAAACCATTGATAAATATTGGTTCACATAACGATCCACTCTGTAAAAATCGGAGAAGGGTGGATGGTTTTCATGACTAGACCATTGAATTTGATTAGTTCTGTACTAAGTGAATATATCAGCCAAAAACAAATTTACTAATCACTTGATCGACTCAACTACCAAATATCATGCTCATGATGTTTAGATGCCGAAGTGAGTATATATTTTGAGCGATATCAAAGTAGCTACTTGACAAATGAAATTAGGGAGAATACTTCGAACTTCTATTTCTCATCACAACACGGGTTTTTAATAAATTCGTTTTCAATTCTCAAAATATACACCCGCATCCTCCATTTCGATGAAAAATCCCCAACTTTGATGAACCAGTACGGATGTACGTTCAGTCGGTGAACAAGATCGGCCCTGGAGGGTCGCTAGGGGGGAGGCTGAGCAAATGTTAGGCCTCGAGGAAGACCAGCGCCGTCGGCTTCGGCTCCAGATTGCTCTTTTTCGCCTCTATCACGAGGAACTCGATCTCGTCTCGGTCTCGGCGAGCGAACGACTCGGCGATCAGCCGGGCGACGTCCTGGTGCTGGAGGCCGTCGACGCGGTTGCCGTCCACCTGGAGGATCAGCTGGCCCACCTCGAGGCCGCCAGCGTGGTACGCCGCTCCGTTTTCCTGAAGAAACAAAAGTATTGGATCTACTGAAATTCTTGAAAACTTGGCAACATTGCACTACTAAAATTCTTTCTGGGATCTACGGAAAATGTTGGGGACTTGGCAACACCGCATCACGAAATATGTTCCTGGGATCTCTGGAAATTCAACTTGACAACACTTTAGTATGTATATTCGAACTACTTGGCAACGTTGCACTGTGAAGAGATATTTCTGGAGAGATGTATTTGGGACAACTTGGTATTCGGATTATTTAGAAAAATATTGGCATCAGCGCACTGTGAGAACAAATGTTTGACACATCAGGAATTCAGAGGCAGTGGCAAGACCTCAATTGGGATAATAGGGTATTGACAAATGAAGAGAATATTCCGGATCCATTGTTATGACCTTGCCAATACTGGTTGGTTTTCCTGGGAAGCGTTGAAGTTGAAGAAAAAGCGTATTTTCTGAGTATTCGGAAAGTTGGGGAATTTTTTTTATGTTCTGGTTCCCACGAAAAAAGATATCCTGTAAAGTTCAGAGAACATCGTGAGAACCAAGAGAAATAAGGTAGGAATTGGTGTTCTTCTTAAATTTCTGGAGGTTATATGCCTCAGGGAACACCTACCTTGGCAATGTGTTCCAGAGCCTCGCTGTTCGTGCATGAACGAGTCTTTGGAAAGAGATGTTCTGCAGGTCTCCAAAGTGACCACGAAGAGGTGCAAAGCCTCAACTCGACGGGTTAATCTCGCGGGGACTGCCAAGGGAGGAACAATTGTTGATATTTTAGGAGAGCATCGTCCATGAAAATATCTATAAAATAGAGCCAGATCGCCAACTTTTCTACGGTGTTCCAGAGAAGTGAGTGAGTTTGTGAGCGAGGCATCAACCACGAGACGAATTGCCCTTTTTTGGACAGGGCCTGTGCCTTATAGATCATAAGCAGCTGACTGGAAGTGGAATAGCTCCTGGCTCGAAACAGAACAAGTTTTTGGGATGCACTTTTAGCAATTGATCTCACGTGATTGTCCCAAGAAAGGTTATTTATTGCTTATAGTAATCCCAAGCATCGAAATGGAATTGGCAACATCTCCTCAGAATATGTATGAGCTCAATTGTTTCGAAGCTGATTTTGAGCTTGGAATGTAGGTATCAGATTGTATGAAAATTTCGACGCAGTTGTCGTATTCCTGAAGCATCAGCTAGCCCACCTCGAGATCACCAGCGTGGATACCGCTCCGTATTCCCGAAGAGAAAAATATCCTGAATCTACAGTAACGGAAACTTGGCAATACCGCATCACGAAATATGTTCCTGGGATCTACGGAAATTTTTGAAAACTTGGCAACACCGCATCACAAAACACCACACTGGCAGATGATTTCCACCAAACTGTCTGCGCTTATGAAATTCATTGAATATACTTGAAATTGAGTTAAGAAATAGAACTCGACACGTCGGGATGTGTATCAGTGTAATTGAGCAGTACTATATTTTCAAAGTTCAATAATTCGAAAAGGGCTTGTGTGTGGAATATACAGGGTGTAATTTGATTGATGACTATAAATATAGGAACTTGCCCTTGCTTTTTCTAAAAATAAAAATATGTTTTGAAATCCTCATTTATTTTGCAACAATTTGACTTCGTGAATACTTTCTGCCCGACGCACCGTTTTCGTGTAAAAAAATTGAAACCATTTTCATGCATTTGTAGCAAATTATTTCGAACTAATTGGCTAGTGCCCTATTTTGTATTTATAATAATAACATTTCATCGATCACGTTGCGGTCTTATGTTGAAAAGTATTCATTAACGTGACAGTTTATCACGTTGTGTAAGTTTTTTTAATCGATTATAAAGAGAAAATTACATTTTAACACTATATAGCTTGAAAGTTGAGTGATTTAGAGCATATGTTCATATATGAACTTTTCTTCTGGAAATGAGCTAAGCTAAGAAAACTATCCTATATTTTTAGCAATCAATTAAATTACAATTAAAATGAGTGGGGTGGTAGGGGGGTCATTTGTTATGGTTCAAAAGTTATTAAATTTTTTTGAAAAGTGCGTCCCATTCGAAAAAATTTAATAACAAAAAGGCCGTTTTGAACAACCCCCTATCCCCTATGTCATACCATTTCGGAATCTGTATCAAATGGGCAACTTTTTCTCTTAAATCGACTTAAATATTTCATTTGATGACAAAATTCAAGGAAAACAAAATTTTTCTTAGGATTTCTGGGGAATAGATCATCCATGTGGATGAAATTTGTAAAAGAAAAAATCACAAATGTGACATAGTTTTATTGTTATTGTTTATCAATTCTTTTTATAGAAATGAAAAAACATTGATAACTTCTGAACCATCAACAATTGGATAACCACATATACGGTTAGTTTGATTGGAAATGACCCCCCTCCCCTACCACCCCCCTTCTCTTGATCCATGACTCATGGGACACTTTGTATATGAGGTGTTCAATTTGTGAAAATAACGAGAAATTTATATTCCCAATTTCTTGAACAGTATTGAGGAAATGAATTGCACCCACGTTGATGTTGATGATCCGCGGCAACGGGTGCTTCGTGTTGGCGCCCCCCTCAATCGCGATGCCCAGAATCGGCTTCGTCTTGCGCACCGTCACGCGCAGGTTGCCTTCCTCGTCGTGCGCCACCCTGGCGGGGTCCCTGGCCTCCGCCAGGCCGTCCCTGGCTAGCCGTTGCATCGATTGGTGGCGCCTCATGCCGCCCTCCCCCTCCTGAAGGCCGTGGTCTTCCTTCATGTCGAAGCTGCGGCTCAGCTTGTGGGCCAGCTCCTAAAGAGAGAGAGAGATGCAGATAGTAGCGTAGTTGAATTTACGCCAGTCGGGCAACCAGCCACTCCCGAATGGGAATTTCTGCACAGCCTGGAGTTAAAATCTACTTTTTTTTCCTTGTATAATATATAACTATTTATTATCACCAAGAAATAATTGTAACTTTTATATATATACTGAATACATCTCAAAATTCAAGCAAGGGGGGCATGAATCAACCGATTTTTTTGCTGTCCTAAATGAACCTTGGTAGCTACATTTCTCTGGGTTTTTCTTGCGACATCGACATTTTTGAATTATTTCAATATCTCACAGGAAGGAAGGAATGCTCGAAGTCATCTCCACAAATTTTAATGATATTTTTAACTAATTCATGAGGGACATGTTTCGGTCTTATAAAAGACCATCTTCAGCCTAATTGAAAAGTCTACAATACAAAAACAAATGATATTGAAATGAAAAGATTACCTATTTTATGCTAGACTTTGGAGAATTTGGATTAAGGGGGAGGGATACATGTTAATGTATCCAATCCAAATTCTCCAATAATTGTAATAGATCTTGTTAAATGCCTATGCTCATGGTCAGATTTTCATGTTTTATCCCTTGACATTGACATTGACTCTATGTCAACGTCTTGTCCATGTCTTCAATTGACATAATTTTCAGTGTTTTCTAACCAAATTAGTTTAGATTTGAAACACGTGCTGGCTGCTTGCCCCATCAATTTTATTGATATTTGCTTTAAATAAGGCCTTCATAAGGGAACGGGGAACCCCTTTTTTAAAAACCCGCTAGTTCATGGTGTTGTCAGATATTAAATTGTTTGACAATACCCTTCAAATACCATTTTGGGTATATGAAATGTTCTTTAATAAAACTTAGTATACGCTCTCAGGGCACGGGGCCCTTCATTTTTTGAGAACCCGTTTATTCAATTTTCATTTTGGAACTCTCGACTATGGGCATTGGCAGAAAATAATTTTTTCAACTCCAAGTAAGTCTAGCATAAAATAGGTAATCTTTTCATTTCAATATCATTTGTTTTTGTATTGTAGACTTTTCAATTAGGCTGAAGATGGTCTTTTATAAGACCGAAACATGTCCCTCATGAATTAGTTAAAAATATCATTAAAATTTGTGGAGATGACTTCGAGCATTCCTTCCTTCCTGTGAAATATTTCACTCCACTTTGAGCAATATGGACTTCTACCAAAGATTATTTCAATATGTTGTTCATGTTACATGCACTTCCCTTGACAAGTCTATACAGGGTGTTTCCTAACTACGGTTCCTAACTGCAGGTGGTGATTCGTTAGGTCATTTTAGGAAGAAAAGCTCCTATTAACATATGTCCGGAGTTGCTTCGTTTCTGAGATACAGGGCGTTGAAATTAAAGAAAAAAAAACGGTAATTATAAAATATCATGAATATCCTAGAACCGATTTGGTTGAAATTTGGTACTATTATTTGAACCAATAAAGCGCTTATTTAGCCCAATTAAGATTGAAATTATTGGGGCCAGTGGCGTCTCAGTGGGCACCACAGCTAACAATATTGTGAAAAAAAGTACGCCACTGACTTTTTTTGGTGAATTTTTATTTTTTTTTAGATTGAGCAACTCAAAATACAACTTTTTGGCCTCTTGTATTTACCTCATATCCAGCTTCGTTTTCGAGAAGAAAAATCCAAGCCACTGTATTGCATATCATGAACACCTGCATTGGAGAAATGAGTTTTTCATTATTTCCGCCGAATAAATAATCGACACTTGATATGCTGAAATTTCAGAAAATTTGACAAATAAAAGTACAAAATTTCAACCAAATCGGTTCCAGGATATTCAAAGCCCTGTATCTCAGAAACGAAGCAACTCCGGACATAGGTTCATAGGAACTTTTCTTCTTAAAATGACCTAACAAATCACCCCCTGCAGTTCGGAACCGTAGTTAGGAAACACCCTGTATAAAAAAATATTGAAAATGAAAGAAAGTTTTGCCACTTGAAGGGTTAACTACTAATAATACAAACGTACCGAAATAGTAATGTTGTCACTAACCATACGTCTCACAGACGGCTATACAGCGTGTGTCACTTCAAACGTCCCCCATCTCTATATCTCAGCTACTATTTGTGCGATTTCAATCAAATTCGAACTGGTATAAAAACTATAAATTTGATTAGTTTTTTCAGAAACAAACATCATTATGGACAGTGCTGTGCGTTTTTATTGAAATAATAAGGGGTCAAGTTTGTATCAAATCATTAGGATTTATTTCACAAGAAAACTAACCCCATAATATTGTTGTCCATCATCTGTAAATGGTCATATAATTTCTTTGTTGAGAGTCAAACAAACAGCCATATCTAAACAACAATTTAGCGAACTCTCACTTACTCGGAAAGGGTGAGTTTAACAAAAAAGTAGGTATATCTTGTTTTTTTCTTTCAAACCATGACTTTCTACTACCTACCGGAGCTACACGGAAAGAAGGAATTGTTGAATCAAGCAAAATTTAATTGAATGGAGCAAATAAAAGTGTCATATATGCACGACAAAATATAATCTTGAAATAAGTAAATCTATATCTTGTTTCAGAGCGAATTTGAAGTTTGAATCAAGTAAATATGTCTTGCAAAAACTCTGGATCTTCTTGAATCAAGCACATCCATGAATTGTTCATGAAGAGATATTGAATTGACTCAAACAAACATTTTGTTTGAGTCAAAATAACAAGATATTGATTCAGTCAAATATTTAGTTGATTCAACGAAATATTTGGTTGATTCAAAGAAATATTTGGTTGATTCAATGAAATATTTGGTTGATTCAATGAAATATTTGGTTAATTCAATGAAATATTTTGTTGATTCAAGAGAAACTATATATCCACTGGACAAATTGTTTTGTTGAACCGAATTCAATATTCGGGAATTTTATGAAATTTCACATCAATAGAATAAACAAAACTAGTAAACTAGTCGACTCCTAGCATAGATCTTTAGTCATTACTCCTCTTTAGCTGATGGAAAACTATTTGGGATTGCTAATCATCCTAAGTTCGACTTATCCAGCTGATATTTCAAACACGAAGAATCAGGCTTCACGTATATAACGAACTCGAGGCAGGCATAGACGAGGCGAAATGATCGCCATCTAGAGGCGAAAATTTGAGTTGACGTAGAATGAACAAAATATTTCATTGATATTACATATTTCGTTGCTCTATTCAAGCAAATGATCCGGTCGAAACGAGTTCATTGATACATCGGAATAAGACAACTTGTATTTTGTTTCAAAGATATATTCTCATCAAAATGATCATTTTTTGATCAAATCAACGAAATGTTTATAGTTGAATCAACATCGACATTATTTCGGATCGACATAATTTGTTTTTGAAGAAACCATAGATTTTGTTGATGGAATTGATATTATACTGTTGATTCAATTAGACTACATTTTTGATTTGAACAAGCTGCTTCCATGGAATAATCATGTATCTGGTTGATTCAACAAAAAATTGCTCAGTCCAACAAAAATAACTCAAGCATAAATAATTTGTTGATGCAACAGATCCTATTTTTCCGTGATAACGAACGTTCTTCAATTTGCAATGGAAATGAATTCATTATTTTTTCTAGGTACAAAATGGAAAAAAAGCCGATCCTGGCAATTCGGACATTCAAAAGCTATGAATGAAGTTAGTTTGCCTGAAAAAAAATCATAATATGATTTCATAAAAAATCGACTCCTTTTTGTACGCACGGCACAGTCCATATAGACGTTTGTCTTTGGAAAAATCATATTTTTGGTTATCCATACCAGTCCAAATTTGATGGAAATCCCACGAATAATAGCTGATGAGGTACCTATAGAAGGTGGCGGGGGCTTTCAAAATGAGATAACGGTACAATTATCTTCAATTTTCATATTTTTTTCCTCTGAACTATTCATATGTACCACGGCTCTGAACAGCCATCCCAAAAATTTTGTTTTTCTAGGTGATCTGCCTAATTTATAGTTGTAACAGTAAATTGGTTGAATAAAACATGTTTTGCCATCTCCTAAGTTCTCGCCAAATTTACAATTGCACCTGTAAATTAGAAGGGGTCCCCTGTAAATTTATAATAGTATAATAATATATAAGAATCACTTGTTATGCATTGATAATGATAAGATCAATTATTTCATTTGATGACCATCGACCCAGGTATTTCAGCCATTTTATGAATATTCAAATCATGATGATATCTAAAATCTGTACTATAATATTATGTTTCGTCGCCTTACAATTCCATAATGTTGTGATGTATAGAAATGTTTTTTTTGTTAATTTTCACAATTTAAATTTGGAAAAATACATATTTATCAGTTTTCATTTCACGGAATTTTCAATGAAGCATCAACACAAATTACAAGTGATTAATTCGCCATTCTTCTTTCCTCGCGCATAGAGGTACCATAATACATATAAATTAGTGCTTGTTATTGATGGTCCGTTTTTTATTATTTTCACCTCGGAGAATATACATTCTTCACTTGTACAACTCATTAATTGATAAGAGGATGCGAAGTCACGATTTTTTCAGACATATGGCAATTTTCGCACATGAAATCTGAAAATTGGGTGGTAAGCCGGTTCCTGAGTGATAGAAATATGTGATGAACGCTGACTTCGAATATAGATTTTGACAACTGAATAACAGATCATAGTTATGAAATTGAAAATAATTCCTACGCTATTTCACTGAAGTATAAGAACACATTTTCATTCACTCAGGACGGTTGTACAGAGATGACCGTTCATAAAATTACAACATCGACAAGTGATTCGTTCTGATGCTACGATGCTAATGACTAAACCTGCTTCAATCTTCGATCACACGATGATTACGAATACCGATGAGTCGGCGAGGCCGTTTGAGATGAGGCATTCCTTAGGCGTTCTTCCCATTTACGGGGTGATTTGAACATCGTCGCT